GCGCGCTCCACAGTGATTCGAGTCTGAGAGAGCTTGTAGTTATAGAGTTTCTTTTTAGGGCAATGAGCTGCAGCAGCCTCATCAAAAGGCGTAAGCAAATGACGAAAGATCTTGTACCCTGCATCACCTACAAAATGCATTCCCGCAGGAATTGTTGATTTGTTGCGAAGACCAGACAAATTCCAAAGAGACTGATCGTTCATTGACCCAGCACGTATAGAAAAAGAGCGGAATGCCGTTTGATGATCAACGACGGCTTGCATATTAACCGCAGGAAAGTTTTTCCGACAGTACCATCCTTCATGCTCCGCAGGCCTACTGATTCGGATCAGTGACCCGTCAATTGCCCCAATAACGTCAGGAAAACCAGCGATTTTCTCAAACCCGAGACTAACCCGCTTAATCTCTGCAGAAGTCGATGGCAGTGTAATTTTTTGTTTAGCCATTTTAGACAGAACCGAAAGAACTTGATTAATGTATACCACAGCGCTTGACTTCGACATCCCAAGTACTGTCGCCGCGTTGTCCATGGAGCCTCCACTGGCCAAATACACCATCGTCACAGTAACTCGTTTCGTTAGGTTGTGCTTGGTGCTGTGATGGATCTTGCCAATCCACTGGCTCTGGACTATCGTGACAATGGCAAAGAATGTCCGTCTATCACAACGCATCTTCCTGTGAAACCATTTAGTTCTTCGACTTGCTACAGCTTTGTCAAACGCATTCGACGCGAAAGTGTTCACATTTTTTCGAGTATAGCCACCAAATCGACGACGATCACTGGAGAGGGCAGCAAAGGTCGCCCACATGCACTGTATGACGCATAAAACTGCTACTTGGCCTTGGTCACCATGGCTACTTCGTTGGTTTTACAGTAATACGCGAAATGGAGTGTGATGAAGATTGATCAGTGCCGGTATAGACTGCAATTTGTTCTGACTTCAGAACACCTCTGCCAGGCGTTCTGAGGTTTCTATTGAGAACGGTAAAAAAAACTGAAAATCGTTCCGAGTGGCAACTCAATTTTAGCCCATCAGTACACGCTATTTCTCAGAATGAATTTCAGTATTTTTACTTCGACCAGGGCCTTACAGAACACGTACTGAAATTTGACAGAGCCTCTCACAGCCGCACTTGTGCTGTAATCAAGTGTCTCTTGTTGTGTTTCCTGATTGTTCCGAGATCCTCTATTTATGTTGAATAAACTAAAGAGCCCTGCAGATTCTGTAGGCTACGCCTAATAGAAACGTTGTCTGGTGGGCATCTTGGGCTAGTTGTTCTCAAACAGCGTTGTCTTAGATATCTGACTCAGAGCTGACGTTTTGATAATTCGAGTTACTTGTACCACAATTTTCATTTGAGGTGGGGCGTGAGCGATCAAATCCCAGGCTCAATCTGCCTTTTCCCCGGCTCAACCATGCGGGAACATTTTGAGAAGGACGCCGATACCTGGACGCGATGGTTTTTGTACCCAACGAGGGCAGCAATGAAGCCTCCCCCCCCCCCCAATCCGAATTGCAATCCAAACCTCTTGCGGACATCATCACGCTGCCACGTTAATAGCTGGACCTGCATTTACGAATTCACGCCTACGTGATGGTGCCCCATCCCACCCATCAGCGCTACAGCGGAGACCAGCAGTCGGCACGATGCCGGATTGGTGGCCCACTCGACACGAACACGGCGCACAGCGGCGTTACCACAACGACTGAGGCCAAAGCTTATCATCAATTAAGTCTTGGGCGTGAGAAGTATCTAGTTGCTGATCTCTGGACTATTCCGTGACTTGGATGGCTATTTGTGTATGCTTTTGCGCTGTTTTGCTTCTCCACCAGTCGGAGCTTAGCGCTCAGTGAGTTGCTTGCGATGTACAGTAGTCCTAACGAATACACGACGGGCATGAAGGCTGCAGCCTTGGCACTCGGCTTCATGGAGGACTTTGTGTGCACGACCTATTTCGTGTGCCTACTGTGGCTGTTTGACGTTTCCAAGCAGGTAATTGGCGACAGATTCGAGTCCAACCGCAGCAAGCGAAACTGCGTGGTGATTCAAACTGCGGGGAACATTGCAACATTCGTGGTGTCGTGGCTGCTGTTCCTCGTGATGATGATCCCTTTCGTCTCGGACTTGTTACTGGTAGTTAACCGAGACATGCGATTCACTTTCGACCTTGTTACTATGGCTATCAACGAACGAGAGTTTGCAAGCGCCGCTCCGATCTCCGTTGAGGAGATCCACCGAGGTTACGTGGGTGGAACCGTTCTGGTGATTGTTAGTATTGTATTTGCGACTGTGCGTACGAAGGCTAACTGGGCTGATCTATCGACTTGGAACCCTACGCACGTGGTGATTAAGGCAGTTGGTTGTCGAGCATGCAGCTTTAAGGAGGTATACAACAAGACCAGCAAAAAAGTCAAATATGTGGAGGTCGCTTTGGAAGAAGGCGCGAACCAAAGGAAAGATACAAAGAGTGAGGCGTTCCAGAAAAGTATTTACCATCACGCATTGAGAGTCGCAATCGTGTTCATGGGTCTCGTTGGCATCCCAGCAGTTGTGGTGGCCTTGCGCTGCGCGTGTTCGCCGCTTGTTGCGTATTGCGCCATGAACACGACGCTCAACGAAATGTTTGGTCATGCATTGCAGCCCACATCGACAGATGATACGTTGTCAGTTCTTGGAGGCTGGATCGAAACGTTTATCCACCCATCGGAGAAGCACGAACGCTTTGGGGTCAATACGCTTTATCGTCGGAGTATTGGCTTTCAGGGTGATCTCGCTTTTGATGTCAATGTATCGAGTGACAACCCGCCCAATGTGCTGGTAATTGGCGTCGAATCTTTCAGGTTTCAGGACTCCCGTTACCTTGTTGGAGACAAAGACCCTTCCAACTTGTTCAAGGGTACAAATATGACAATAACGCCGAACTTTGACAAGTGGGCAAAGCGTGGAGTCGCTCTCCGTTATATTTGGTCAAGTAGCCCCACGAGCCGATCTCTGGAGAGTCTTTTATTCGCTCAAGTTCCGTACGATAGCACAGTGAAGACCGCGATCACTGGAGGGAGAAAGAACACGAACCTCTCTGGCTTACCGCAGCTCTTTAAGGCCAAAGGATATGAGACTTTCTTCACCACTGGCTGTCCGACTCGATTCGAGAATTGGGACGTATTTCTTCCTTCTCATGGCTACGAAACCCTGTGGGATTCCAAGGACATGATGAAGCTGGCAGAAAGAGACTATGGCATTCGACATAGCGACTGGCATGAAGGTACACATCGTGGATTCAAGTGGGGAGTACACGACGACATCAACTTGCAACTTCTTGGTGACCTGCTCGTGAACAAGACCAATGCGCAGATCCAACGTATGGCGAAGGGTGAACCGAAAAAGCCACTTTCACTACGCACTACACTATCTCCAGTCACTCACCGTTCGAAGAGCGTCCGAAATGGTACGCAAACGCCAACAAGCCTGACTTCTCGCCTCTTTACAAAGGAGAAAAACAAGCCGGTATGATCAAAAACTACCTCGAGATGCGCTATTTCGCTAATATAGAGCTGGGGAAATTCATGGGCCGTATGGAGAAGGAAGGTATTCTCAACGACACCATCGTGGTCATTGTCGGCGACCACGGCCAGGCACCTGAGGCTGAGGTGACGAATACTCATGAAGAATCAGTGACGCGTGTTGCTGGTGCTATTATTGCTGAAGGACGACTAGGAAATGCTGCTGGTCTCATCATTGAAGACGCTGTTGAGCAGTACGATATTCTCAACACATTGGCCGATATAACTGGTCTGCCTGAAGGAGGTTTTGTGCAGAACGGTATTGGACGCTCACTTAAACGGAAGGTCCCTTTCGGAGAGCGTGTGGTCTTCAGCAACGACCCTAGTCGAAAGATGTCAATTGTACGAGGCCACAGGCGTCTGCGTTATGATCAAGTGACTGCATCGATGATGCTGCACAATACTGAAAATGATCACGCGATGACCAGGGATCTGTTTCCAGGACTTTCAGCCGAAGAGCGGGCTGAATGGGAGTATTGGCGTGACCGTGGCCGTCATGTCACCGCGTATTATACGAAGCGGTGGGACGAGAACTGCTTGCTGGCTGTCAGTTGTACTAAAGGAAACTAATAGAACCACAAAACCACCTCGGATAGATTTTTATTCATGAGGTGAATTTCGACTTTTACCATTCGTTGGCTTCTTGTTTTATTTTGCCAATTTATCAGTTAATGGATTCACGAGCTCTTCTAAATTGCGCGAATAGGACTGCAATTCACAGTTCTCGTTGTAGACTTACCACCACGGTGCTTATGCATGTAATCACACCACGTAATGAATAACAAATCCATAGCTACAGTACGCCACGGTCTCTCGAGGGTGAGATGCACCGCCACCGAGGAGCAAATGGAATTTCCTAAGTTTACACTATTAATAGTGCTTTTAAATTAAAAGCACTATTAATAGTTTTAATACAATACAGAATAGTTGGGTATAGTCGTGCCTTGGAAAAAAAAAACTTTTCAAGGTCAAAAGCCCAGCCTGGCTCAACAAACTTGCTTACTCAATACGGTCCAAGTCTCCGAGTGCTCCGTAATCCGTTTGCAAGTTGCAGACTGCACTTGCAGTGCAAGCAGAGCCGCCAGCATCTGATGCTGAGCATGAACCCTAACGTCGTGTGGTTGTACCGGCAGGGGATAACTTATCGTGATGGGGTGCTCAAATTTCTAACAGTAAAAAATACAAATACCATGAGTAGAGTACAGTATATATACCAAATGGGAGCGATTGTGGGATGCATATGTGGTGAGGGCATTGATCTGCTCTGTGTCTGCGACGCTAACCTGGATGGATGGTGCGTTCATTTCTGAGTTTGCATCAATTCCACATCATTCCCCGCCAGCGCTGGCCCCATGGAATCCCTCGGCTTGCTCGCCAGCCCAAGAGACCAACAGTCGACGCGGTGTCGCTTTCCCGAGCCTCAGGACGCTGGTGCAGACGAGATTATCACTAATGAGGCATCGGAGACGAAGAATACTCGACGAAGGAGGCAGTCAAGGGAGCTCCGACGTTTTAGTGATCTGTATACTCGTCCCTGGTTTGGATGGCTGTTCGCCTACACTTTCGTGCTGTTCTGCTTCTCTCTGTCGCGATCCTTGGCTCTTGGAGCTCTGGTCGAGATGTACGGCAGTCCTCAAGACTATACTATGGGATTCAAGACCGCAGCATTGGGCCTTGGACTCATGGAGGATTTTGTCTGCACGACCTACTTCGTCTGCATCTTGTGGGCTTTCGACGTTTTGAAACGCCGAGTCATTGAACAGCCGAATACCAAGGATGGCGGGGTGGCTACGGGCGTTGCTGGGAATGTTGCAACGCTTGTGGTATCATCGCTGCTTTTTGTTGCCGTAATGGCTCCGTTCGTCGTGGACTTGATGCTCGTTGCGTTCCGCAACATGCGCTTTACGTTTGACCTCGTGGCTGCATTGCTTCGAGAAAGACATCACTTAAATGCTGCCCCAATATCAACCGAGGAGATCCAGAGAGGGTATGAGGCTGCAACTGTGTTGGTGATAGTCGCTGGAGTTTTTGGGTTTGTGCGTATGTCGACTAGTGCAACGGATCTATCGAACTGGAATCCAACGCACGTGGTGGCGGAATATCTCGATCCTCGAACACGTAGTGCAGTCGGTGGACCCAAGTACGTGGCGCTTAGTCTAGAAGATGGCACAGCCAATGAGGCATCAGAAAGCAAAGCGGATGATCCAGATACTGGCAGAAAGAAGCTCATTTATCACCAGCTAGCTGTCGTCTTGATGGGTCTCGTTGTCTTCCCCGTTGCTGTGATCGCGCTAAGCAGCACTTGTTCGCCCCTCGTTGCGTATTCTGGGCTGAACGCGACGCTCAACGAACTGTTTGGTCACGCGTTGCAACCTACACCGACTGATGCCTTGCTAACAGGCGTACAAGGTGACCAACCTTGGGTGGAGATGTACATTCACCCAACCGAGCAACATGAACTCTTCGGGAACGATACACTCTACCGTCGAACTACTGGATTCCAAGGAGGCCTCGCCTTTGATGTCGACGTGTCAAACGACAACCCGCCTAATGTATTGGTGATCGGTGTTGAGTCTTTCCGGTTCCAGGATTCTCGCTATCTTGTTGGAGAAGAAGACCCTTCCAACCTGTTTAAAGGAACCAACTTGACTATCACGCCCAACTTCGACAAGTGGGCGAAGCGTGGAGTGGCTCTCCGTAATATTTGGTCAAGTAACCCCACCAGTCGGTCACTGGAGAGTTTGTTGTTCGCTCAAGTTCCGTACGACAGCGCTACGAAAACTGGCATCACTGGCGGCAGGAAGGACACGAAGCTTGCTGGATTGCCTCAGCTATTCGACGCCAAGGGATACGATACCTTCTTCACCACAGGATCATCGATAACTCTTGACAAGTGGAACGTGTTCCTGCCTACCCATGGCTACAAGGAGGTGTGGGAAGCCAAAGCGATGCTCACATTGGGCGAAAAACATCTCAAGATTAAACGTCACCAATGGTTCGGTCCCGAACACTACGCATTCAACTGGGGAGTTCACGACGACTTGAGCTTTAGACTTCTAGGAGATTTATTGCGTGAAAGGACGAGGAGGCAGAAACGGCGCGTGGCGAAGGGCGAGCCAAAGAAACCTCTCTTTCTCACGCACTATACCATCTCGAGTCATGGACCATTTAAGGCACGACCGACGTGGTACGCGAAGTCTGCTAAACCGGACTTCTCTGCATTGTATGAGGGACACGAGCGTGCTGCGAACATTCAAAATTATCTGGAGATGCGGTACTTTACCGACATGGAGCTGGGCAAGTTCATGGATCGTATGGAGAAGGAGGGTATTCTAAACGACACGATCGTTGTCATCATGGGAGACCACGGCCAAGCACCAGAGGCTGAGATCATGAACACTCACGAGGAATCCGTGACTCGTGTGGCAGGCGCCATTATTGCTGAAGGCCGACTCGGTAAATATGTTGGTTCTGTCATCGACGACGCTGCTGAACAGTACGATATCCTCAACACTCTAGCAGACATTACTGGTTTACCGGAGGGAGGCTTTAATCAGACTGGTGTCGGCCGTTCGCTCAAGCGCAAGGCGAAATACGGAGAGCGTCCAGTCTACAGCAACGACCCGAACCGTAAAATGGCTATTGTACGCGGCCATCAGCGTCTTCGCTACGATCGTGTGACGGACTCGGTGCTGCTGCATGATACCGAGAGAGACCATGCCATGACTACCGATTTGTTCCCAGAGCTCTCGCCTGAAAAGCAAGAAGAGTGGAAAGCCTTGCGCGATAGTGGTCGACGGATCACAGCGTATTACAAAAAGCGGTGGGACGAGAATTGCTTGTTGGCCGTGGATTGTACTGGAGATGCAAGCGAATAGATATGAAGCTAGCTATATTATGAAATACGACTTCAGCGCAACACCGTCTTAGTGTTTGATTGCTTTTACAAACGATAGGGACAAAATACATCAAAAACTTTGCGTCGAATAGTTGGTATAGGCGCATTGAACACTACTTGGATTTCCCACGTGAAAAAGCTGCATTGTTGTCACGACAGTTTCAATGCACTACAGTAGTATTTTTTTTACTACGCGGTCTTGGCGTATTGTATTTAAACAAGAAAGCATGCCCCACCTAGATATCACGACTCGATTAAGAGGCTACAACGATGTAAATTCTTAAAAGCAAACGCGTTAGCCAACAATTCAAGTGTTTTTTTTTTTTTGAAATCCTAGACCAAATACCAGTATTTGGACTATAAATTTAGAATGGATCATGAAGCGTCACATGAGCACAAAAATCGAGATATGATGTTGGATGAGGACCTAGATGCACTAACGACAAGTTTGCAAAACGAGCGCAAGTGGCGGAATGTTCAGGTTGTTTTACCAGAGTCATTTGAACTTGTGGCGCGTGTGCTCACGCATCAGGCGCAGTTGATCCAGAAGCTAGAACATCGCATCGAAGAAATGGATCGTGCCCGGTCGATCGAATCTAGTTCAGATCACGCGGTTGCGTTGGAAGAACGCATTTGCTCGGATGTCAGGCGTCGGATAGTGAAACTGAGAAAGGAGGTAAGAAAATCTAATGAATTGAGTGCTGAAAACGAGCCTGCAGCGTATAACTCTTTTCGCTATGCAGTTTACTGGGAGAGTGGACCAGCAACAGACGATGATAGAGCAAATTAATGAGGTTCTAGAGACCAAAGACCAGCAACACCAAGAAAGAGTTAGCAAGGTATGATCCAAAGTTTTTGAAAAGGTGAACTAAAACCGATTAAAAGAGTAAGCAGATTGAGCAGAACGTCGAGCAGCAGTGCTCTCAGATACAAGACAAACTGGAGCAGTTGGCCCACAGCACAAAACGTCAACTGAAGGATCAGGAATTGCATTTCAAGTCAGCATACGCACTGAATGGAGACAAATTGGTCCAGCTACGACAAGAGATTATCCAGCAGGTGGAAGATCTAGAGTTAAAGCTGATGAAGAGTGAAACAAGTAGAGAAGCCGCAGTCCCCGTCATCAAGGAAGTTACTGTCGCGACACCCGAAATGCACGAAAAAGATGTGGTGAGCACGATGATTTAAATGACTTTTATGAGGCGACTAAGCAGATATACGTTGTGAACGTGTTAGAACGCTATTCGAGGAGACATGGCGCGGGTTTCGCTGAACATCAAAGAAGCAGAGGCTAGAATTGATTATCAGTGTGCTGCGTTGAGACAGGAGCTCATGATGGCTATTGGAAAGATGCCATGTAAGAGTGAGATTACAAAGCTCCTCAGTCGGAAGATGGATGCAAGTGCGTCTCCTATCTTGCATTATGCAGCCTGCTGTTAGTTAGCTATAGTGTCTCTAATCTGTTTTGTTACTTAACATTTAGTGGATGCATGGAAGCAACTTGCAGAGAAGGCTGATAGCGCTAGAGTAGAAGAGGTCGCCTGTTCTCTCATGGACAGTATCCAACGATATCAAGAGAGCACGATGGGCGACGTGGATCGGTTAAAACAACTCAATGATTCGAAGGCGGACGCTTTGGAACTGGTACAGATCAAACACAATATGGTAAGGCCGGTGGAATTTACTCAAACTCTTTTTGTCCTTAACGTTGTTCTGTTAGCATAACATATTGTCAGTTGCCGAGTCCATACAGCACGAGTTAAGCGCGCTGCAACGGGAAGTGAACGAGAAAATGACCGTTGCCGATGTGAAAGAATTGCTGGACTCGCAGTCAACCATGAATGGAGTACAAGAGGCAATAAAGCAAGTGGAAAATGCTGCGGTCGGTGGGTTTGCGACCAAGGATCAATGTGAAAACATAAACCACCAGATACAGGCCATCATACGACAGCTGCGCAGCGAGATCTACCAAGCCCGCTACGTGAGTACCATTGTTAACCTCTTGAGACAATTATGACTTGACAAATCTGTTGTGTATCAGATCTGGAAAGATGGCCGCCCCAGCGCAAAGCAAACGATTCAGTGGAGCGCTCAAGTGGTTAACACAAATGCTGATATTTTCCTATGGCAATTCGGCTCCGACGAAGTAAAGTTACTCCTACCTGGGCTTTATCATCTACAGGCGGCGTTCTTCACCAACTACTCCCCTGCAATCCAGGTGCTCGTAAATGGCGAACCAGCGGTTCTCATGCGATCATCAAACGACAAGAAAGTGGCGACATGTTCGGCTTCGTGTGAGGTTCAGCGTCTTCACCATAGTGCTGGGAATGTTGCAGGCCTATCGGTTGAAGTTTTTCTGGCACTACCTGCGAGAGCGCTAGTGGCTATTTCCTACGATATTGACGAGAAAGCGCAAGGCTTTTTGAACTTGCGAAAGCTATAAGCTGTGGATAACACTGTCAGTGTACCATTTTTTCATTCTTAACACACTGAAGCATGTAGATCAGTTTGAGCAACAGTAGGTTATACTTGCGACGGAGAGGCTTGTCTTGTGGAAGAAGGGGCCTTGGAACTGTTACGTCGCTTGAGTGGGGACATCACCTGCTGATCTTGTTGTGCTTCGGGTCGCGGGTAAGATGATTGTGGTGATTCTCTCGTTTTCTGAGGAGGATGAGTGCTGTTGCCCGGGTCTGCGAGTTCTTTATCGTTTCTTCGAACTGCTAATGATTTCGTTGTTGGTACTTCCGTAGTTTGCTCGAACTCCTTTACCAGCCGCTTTAGAAGGCGATCAGATACCTCGTACTTTGCTGATTGCGTAATAACGTAGTCCGCGTCCATAAGGCGAGGCTACCCGAAGATCCGACGTAGTGAAATGACATACAAGTATAGAGGTGGTTAGCTACGGTGCATCATCACAACGTTAGCTATGGATACTCACCGCATACTCTTGAATATCATAGAAGAGTCGAGGAATTTCGTCAAAGTTGCTAGCAAGTATTGGTCTCTGGAGCTCTTCCAGAATGACGAGAGCTGTTTGGAAGAGCTGTTTCCAGCCTTTGAGTATAAACCCCTCAAAGACCCGTACCACCACGTCATACGAAAGCGCCTCCATGTTCGTAAAGAGCGTCATAAACCACCTGCAATGAAAGCCAAGCATCAGTAACTAGTATCATCTGGAATGTTTATCAGAATAGTTAAGATACCCCGTCGCGACGATGCTGATGGGAAAGTCGATGGTGTGGAAATGATCGGATATCGGACGCAGATACATTCGTAGAAGACGATCCAGCTAACAACATCGTAATTCTGTTAGTATCGGTTCATCAAAACGTGTTGAAAATCCTTACCTGAAAGCAGCGAAGACTGAGATGTGGAAGTCCCGGTCCATAGAGCCTCTCGAGTTCGAATCGAGGTGATGCGAGTATACTGACGAGTAGCCAGAATGCACGTGCCTCGTTCCAGTCACTCACAGCTAGTACTAGCGCTGCGACGTGGTCCATGCCCTGACAGTACCCTACTTCGGTGTCCACACTAGCGCAAGCACGAAGTACATTCTGCAGAGCAGCTCGCCTTTTCTCCACTGGGATAGCAACCCCATCCGAGTTGTACACAGTACGTGACGTCGAATGAAGACTTTTGCGGTGCTGCCGACGTGCTGAAACTCCAAAAGTTCGAGTGACGTCGAGACGGATCTGCTCATCCCATTCCGACGCTGGGCCTGTTTCACACTGACTGCGAATTAGCTCGTACGCCTTCTCCAGTTCCATGGACGTTGGTACAGATGACACATTAGAGTTAGCATCGGTTTGCACAGGCTTGTCCCACGACGGACGCGATGTTGACACCGGTATTTCATTCGCGTCCGAGTCTTCAGTATCCGAACCCGACGATGCATCGAGTCGCGCTCGCAAGGCTTCAACCAGATCCGCAACGAAAGCTCGAGTCCGGTTATCCTTCAGACATTCAGCCAGCCATAGCATCGCGATATTGGGATCCGGTGAAGAAGTATTATCAACTGGACTGCTACTTCGAGAACGTAGTTGGGTGCAGAGCTCCTCGGATACAATTTGAAGTGCCTCTCGATCAGTTGGGGTCAAGAAGCTATCCGTGTGTCGAATCATCACTCTCCATCCGTTGTCATCGGAGTGATCCGATGAAGAACTAACGCTAGACGCTTTTCGAGCGTTCAAAGCGCCTTGCAACGCTGCGATTGTAGCGTCCATTTTGTCAAGAACTTTGTGTGCACGACACTGGGCCATCTTGAAGCTCATGGTTAGCTGTCGATGTGCCAATATTAGTTGATTCGAAGCTTCTACTGAGGTTTCAGCGGGCGCAAACCGGTGTGCGGCTGGTGGATTCGGTAGCTCCATTGATGTGGAGCCTATTGGAGACCCACCGTGTTGTTTCTGAAGAGCTTGATCCAGAGCCTGTACATCGCAGCCAGCGTCAATTGCTAATGCACGCAACTTCTGTGCCTCCTGTTGCTTAGCTGCAAGTGTTTGTGTGGCTGTAGCAAGCACAGCACGAATTCTGCGCTCAAGTTCCTGATTCTCTCGACTAATTTTCCTCGCTTCACGAAGCTGTTGAGCTCGGTATTCCGCCTGGTAGCACGGTGTGCATACTCTTTGCGGACGCAGTGGCGCCCCAGGACACAGTGCGATGTCCAACACGTGACTGCAGCAGCCAGCACAAAAGATCGAGAAGCACAAGCGACAATGATGACGACGTTCACGCACGGAGAAGACAACAAAGCACAGCGGACAGTGTTTCGCCGCCGCGTCGTCCTCCCAGAATCGATCTGTGCTCGCAACTGGATGATCTGGAATGGCTTCGTCCCAACCTGGTAGAATTTTATCGACCACTGCCACATACTCGACCATCGCCGATTCTCTGTCATCCGATTCTCCCTCCGTTCCGCTGCATGCATCCCATTGTCGCCTATAAGCAACAACAGTAACAAATTAGTCACCATTTCACCCCAAGATTTACACTAGCGGCCACTGACATGACGGCGCCTGGCCCGAAAAACCCTCCGCAGACTGTGAACTTTCCAAAAATGCTCGAAGCACACGGTGTGTGCTGTGTCACATTGGACTCATCCTTGATTCGTCGACTATTCTCCGCCGGCCCCTACGCGTGATTACTAGCTTCAGTTTTCAACCCAAACTCCCCCTCGCGACTAAGTGGAGTTTACTACCTGCTCCAGGAAGCACTGAATTCCCAACAGCCTCGGCTCGACCTCCTTGAGTGTGCGGATTACGAACGAGTCCACGGCACGCTCCGACCCATTGTGGTATTTGTTGAGTACCGAGCCTACCAGCGCGTTAGCGCGCGAGTATTTTGTGGCTACGGCATTGCACTTCTTCTTCTTCATCATGCGCGACGCGTTAGTGGACCCTTATTTGATGCACCGGAGGCGGAGGGATCACGAAACGACGCACTAAATGTGACAGCGACTGTTCAAGATACGTTGCCTTTTAGGACTCAAGTCCTAGTGGTCTCTATTAGCGAGTTTCACATGTCAGAGCACATTACATGTATCTATAAAATGCATGTACACTTAAATAATCCATCACACTCAAGCAAAACGCACCGCAAAAACCAAACCGGCCACAACGAACAAATGTAGAACCGAACACGTCGAACAAGCATAGAAATTCTTAACAACTATTGTAAAGATATTCAATCAATCGTCCACACCCCGCGCATTTAATGCGGCTGCGAGGTAGGCACAGGGGATGCGATAAGGAAGGGCTTGCAATTCGCACCGTTTGGCACAAGTGGGGCAAGGGGCATCCCACCCTCTCTTCGTTGGATCTCTCTTCTCGGAAGCGAAGTCCCCCACGTAGGGTCGAGATAGACATTTCTTGAACAAGATCGCTACGTCCAAATCACCCCCGTCCTCATGTGGGTTAACCTTTATCCCCCAGGTCAAAAGCCTACCGGTAGCAGTCATGAAAGCCTACTCGTACGCGCCACCTCAGTTAGTTTATATAAAGGTTTGTATTGAGAAGCATGTGGTTTGCATGAAATGGACTGTTGTGTTACGTAGAAAAGTCAAATTGAAATTGAAGTGATGTGATCACTGAAGCACTTTCGACCAGAACGGGGTCCGCATATGCCGAAAAACGAGTTCGAGTCGGGCTGTGAACAGTTTACGCAGTAATATGAAGACTTTGTGCTGCACATACCACAGACTCGTTGAACCCTCTTGCCTTGGGTTCGCGCTGAAGCATAACGAGGGTGCTCGATGAATGGTTTGATGACGTGGGTGGGTTCACCGTCACATTCCGCTACTTCTGCGGTACCGCTACGCGTTGTTCTGACAGCCTCGTAGTCATTGAATATCAACTGATGAGCCAACTGAGACACAAACCCTTGGAAACTGCAATCTTCCCCGTCGACTTGCTCTCTGTTGCTCATATCGTAGCGATACGCCAGGAAAGCATCGACAACAATCATTCCGAGTATAGTACTAAAAAGGCGGTGTGTCCAATTCCGTGTAATCCATTCACGCTCAATTGCTAAACTCCCTTGGCGGTAATGATCATGGATGTCAATAGTAGAGAAGTCAGAGAAGAACAATTCCACCATTTGTGGACGGGAAATTCGCTTTTCGTAACGCATTGTCTCAACGAGACCATTCCGTTCAATAAGTCGATGCCGTGTCCGAACGGAATCACTCCCGGGTAGCGTTGTACCTCGGTTGGAAATGATAGTTATTGGTTTACGATCAGCTCAGCAAATAGCATACATTTGGTTGCCGTGCTCTGTAGTACTCGAGAATACCTTGAAATCGCCTCGACGGGGTGCCGTATTGAACCACTCTAGTAAATGCTTTTTAGGATACTCAACTGAAGCTGTTTTGACCATCCCCATAAAGAATAAGCCCAGTCGATTTTCCAATTGAACGAGAGTTTTCACGGATGCAAAAGCACTGTCCGCTACAATGGTGCGACCTGTTCCCCGGTAATGTTCTGAAAGGCGAAGTACTACCGACGTTCCTTCGCCATACTCACGTGCATACAGTTTTTCGCGCTGTCTAACAGCACCTTCAACAAGCTCTAAACCGAGTAGTACACCACTTTGTCCATCAGCGATAGACTTGATCTCCGTACCCTTGCCTTCCGGCTTCCTTGCGATCTTTGTTTTGTGTGGCAAACCATCATGGTAGTACTTACTTTCTCGACCTTTCCAGGCGCTCATACACTCATCGATGCACAGAATGTTTCCTGGATTTACTACACGCTTTCGCCGTTCATTGAAGCCATCTACTATCGGTCGTATCGGTTTCCAGGGGTCTTCGGCAGTGGGGTCGCTTGTGAAGGACATACAGTACAAAACCTGCTCGAAACAATGTCGTGTCATGCCATAGCGCTGGCCAAAGTTGGCTGGTGTTCCAACGAAGCCCTCCTTACATTCAGATTCCCAATAGACGCGAAGAGGGCCTGATCGAGGCTCGACAGCCATAGCTAATCGCAGACCAATCCACTTGAACCAGTCGCCCACCTTGATTTGCCGGTGACTTTGCATCGCCAGGTTTGCGTTAGTGCAGGCAAGCGTGGATTTCAACGTGGGCATTGGGTACATTAGATAGAAGTATTTTGCAATTGTACTGCCATCGAGAGCACCCATGTAGAATCGTGTGGGGCGGGGCTGAACGTGAGATCCTTGATCAAATAACACAGAATGACATGGCTTCCAACGGCGACCATGGGCAATAACTGTGTCATCCTCTTCTTGTTCATCTGAGCTGCTGCTCGCATTTGTATCTTCTGCTGCAGAAGAATTAGATGAAGAGCTAAAGTCGGCAACAATTGCAGCATTCGACTCGCGCAAAAGCTCTGCGAACGAAGTATATGCCGGATCTTGCATCAGATTTGGCGGTTCATGAAGTGTATTTTCTGAGCTTGCTCGTCGCTCGAGCTCTATAGCTCGGGCTGCTACCGTGTCTTGCGAGCCATTTGTCCACGTGACATCGTAGGAGTGTTGTCGTGACACTCGGTGCACAGCGGATCGACACCAACCTTACCTTGATACTTCTTTGTCTTTCCTCTTACTCTGCATCCAACTGTGACTTTCCCCATAAAGGAGTGGTGTGTTGAGGCTGAAAACTAACTATGATGCTGACTGGTGTTTCAGCTTCACCATGAGCTATCGACGACTACTCAGAACACTTCTAACGACCCAAAATCTATTTTTGAAGTTGAGCCTACCGGTAGGCTGCTAAGCGTACCGGTGGGCTAATTGGGGGATAAAGGTTAATCCAAAGATGGAGTCTAAAATGTCCGTACGAGCGTATCGTGCGCGACGTCTCGCCTCGTGTAGGCCTGGATCGCGGATTATTACCGCGTACCCGAAGCCCTCCGAGTTCAGCAACGCTACAGAATAGTTTAGAGTGTCGCTCAAACCGAGACATCATCGCCCAAGAAGAGTCGTGTCCCAAGAAGCCACGAC